CACCATCCATCCATCCACCATCCATCCACCATCCATCCATCCATCCACCATCCATCCATCCATCCACCATCCATCCATCCACCATCCACCATCCATCCATCCATCCATCCACCCATCCATCCACCCATCCACCCACCTATCTATCCATCCACCCATCCACCCATCCACCATCCATCCATCCACCATCCATCCATCCATCCATCCATCCACCATCCATCCAGCCATCCACCATCCATCCATCCACCATCCACCCACCTATCCATCCACCCATCCATCCATCCATCCACCATCCACCATCCACCCACCTATCCATCCATCCATCCGTCCATCCATCTATCCCCCATCCGTCCATCCATCCATCCATCCACCCACCTATCCATCCATCCACCATCCATCCACCCACCCACCTATCCATCCATCCATCCATCCATCCACCTATCCACCCATCCACCCATCCACCCATCCTTCCTTCCATCCACTCACACACCCACCCACCTATCTACCCATCTGCCCTTTTATCCACTCCTACCCAGCCATCCACCCATCTACCCTCCCTCCCTCCCATCTGCTCATCCCTAAGGACTCCCTCTTTTAGCCTGTTGGTCATGTAGCCTGTCCAGGAGAGTATTCTCTACTCCAGGGGAGCAGAGCCCAAGCACCTGATCCTTGGAAGGCATCTTCCTCTCAGCCCCATCTCCCCATCTGCACAGGGGTGTCCAGCTCTCCCTACCCACGCCCGGATGGCCGTGAGCACCCACCTGGGGGAGGCCTTGGCCAGGCACAGGTTACTCTCCCCACTGAGGGCCTGCCCATCACCTTCTTAAAGTTGGTGGTCACAGCTGCCTTCCAAAGGAGGGTCCTGCATCTCCTGATCTCAGGAGCTTTCCTGGTGCCCTCCACATTCCCGCCATTTTGTCTTCCATGCCCACCTGGCCAATGTCCAGACCTGCCTCGACCCCACCACTCACACCTTCAAATTGCTTCCATGTCTCCTCCCAGCCCCCTCACCAGCAGTTCATTGAGAGCAGGGGGCTTCCTCATGCTTGCCTGATCCTCCACGATCCCACCAGCCAAGCACACGGAGCCCAGTGCAGCCAAGACCAGTGCCCTGAGGACTGGTCACACGAAGAACCGCTGTTGAGGACTCCGTTGGGTTCATCAGGGTCCCTCATGTGAAGATGGCCTGGAGCCAGGGTAGAGCCCATCTTCCCTGAAGAAGCTCAACGCTTCTTCTATTGGACTGGGGGGGGGGGCGGGTATCTAACCCCACATCTTTTCTCCTTGGCTGCTAGGAAGCTCAGAACTTAACCCAGGGTTGCACCTTCACACCTGGCATAGCCTTGGTGCTTTCTCTAATAACTGAGCTTTTCTAGTGTAATTATCCTCTGCTCCAAGGGTGCCTTTCACTTTGGCTCCCTTCCTGGAAATTGGTGGAGCTGCATTTTGCAGACTGAGCTGTCAGGTGACTGTTAGAAATCGGATGATAGCAGCCTCTTGCTTCTTGCCTCGCTTCCTCTCCTCTCTCAGAACCCACCAGGGGCCAGCAGGGTCCGTTCCTTTGCGGTGCAGAGACTATCCCTGTCAGTGCTGACCTCACCCCAGATACCCTGGGAAACTCTCAGGCCCTGTCCCCAGAGCTGTCACCTCCCCCACGACATGTGGACTCATCAGAAAGCCCAACAAATCTTAGCTGGATGACTGAATCTATAATTTAAAACCCTTCTGAAGTTGACTGTTTACTCCTGCTTTTTTGTCTTAATAAAATTATCAAAATACTTAAACCCAGTTAATCTAAAGTTCTTTAAAACAAGGCATCCTTAAATTAAACCAAGGAGACATTACAGTGCATTTCTTGTTCCTGTGTAGGTATGGGGTACAGAGGCCTCTGGGTGGCTCTCAAGGGAAGAGGGGCCACCATGCTGGTTCAAGGGAACCTCAGCTTCAGGCCGCAGGAGAGTTTGGGGGCTCAGCCAGGTTTAGGACTAGAGCGTACCCCCAGGGGTGTTTGGGTCAGTGGGGCTGGGTGGCTATGGATATCTGGCCCTCTGTGAACTGTGGGGTCCCATCCAGCCTGGGGAGTGGAAACGTCACTCATCTCCTGCCCCAGGGGTCTCTGTGGCCTGTGCGCCCAGGGAGAGCTGCAGGGAGGCGCTGGGGTTCCGGCAAGAAGAGACTGGAATGCACATTCCCTGGCCTCCAGGTCACAGGCAGACTAGGGACACCTGTGGGCTAGAGTGTTCCCCCCCCAGGCCTGGAGGCAGCAGCCGGAGGCAAGGGTGTGGCGGGGCAGCACCTGTGCTCTTCAGCCCATTGTCCCTTCTCCAAGGTCCCCCTAGGCTTTAGTGTCCCCGAAACCTGAGCTCGGCTCTCCGCAGCCCAGGGCTAGGACCGGTGCTCAGCGCTCGGGGCTGCAGCGCGGGGCTGGGGCCAGAGGGGCCCACAGCGGATGTGCGCCTGCGCGGAGCCTGGACTCCCGTGGGCCGAGAGCCCAGCGCGCGGCAGCCGGGAGCTTTTACTCTAGCGGGGGCGGCGGGCTGCGGGAGCCCCCTTGTATCCTGTGAGGGGGGCAGGAGAGGGGTGCGGGGGCACGGGGGGGCGGCGGGCTGCGGGAGCCCCCTTATGTCCTGTGAGGGGGGCAGGGAGAGGGGGCAGGGGGGCGGCGGGCTGCGGGAGCCCCCATATGTCCTGTGGGGGGGCAGAGAGAGGGATGCGCGGTACGGGGGGGCGGTGGGAGCACCCTTATGTCCTGTGAGGAGCGCAGGGAGAGGGGGCAGGGGGGCGGCGGGCTGCGGGAGCCCCCTTATGTCCTGTGAGGAGCGCAGGGAGAGGGGGCAGGGGGGCGGCGGGCTGCGGGAGCCCCCATATGTCCTGTGGGGGGGCAGAGAGAGGGATGCGGGGTACGGGGGGGCGGCGGGCTGCGGGAGCACCCTTATGTCCTGTGAGGAGGGCAGGGAGAGGGGGCGCGGGGTGGGGGCGGCAGGCATGGGCTGGCGGGGGGCCGCGGGTGCTGGGGGGGATTCTGCTGAGGGAAACCAGCGGGGGCCGAGGCAGGGGTGACGGCGGCTGCAGGGTGAGGCGTGGTTGGGTCCCGGTCAGTGTTTAACTGGGAGCCAACAGGGCTTGCTGGAAGGCGAGATGCAGAGTGTGAGCGAGGTGGAGGGGCAGCTCCTGGGATGGGGGTTCAGGGGGCAAATCAGGGGTCAGCCCTGATGCCCGCAAAGCCCCAGGCGTGAGCTTCTCTCTGGCTTGCTTTGGGGTTTTGTGGAGGTGAAACTCACGTTCCATACAGCGAACCCCTTTCAGTGCCCTGTCCGGCTGCGTTAGTGCCCTCGCGGTGTGGGGGGCTGCCGGTCTCTGAAGGGAGTGATCGGTACCCAAAGCCGGCTCTCTTCCCCCTTCCCCTCCCTCTCCTCGGTCCCCCAACACCCTCCCCTTCCCTCCTCCCTCTCCCTATCATTTCATTTCCTTCACTGGCTTTCTTGCCTCACATGGGTCCAGACTGTTTCCGTGGCCTGTGTAGCAGGAAACAAAGTCAGGACCTTCAGCCCACCTCCATGTTCCCAGCACAGCCCACGAGACCCTCTGCATTTGGGTGATCTTCCCGTGAAGCAGGAGACACAGGGTTGTCTGCTGACCCGGCAACTCAATCAGGCCACCCGGCACCATCCCCACCCGCCCGGGTTTCTGGAGAAACCACATCTGGCTGAGCCTGCTGGCTCTGGGGTGGGCCGTGGTCTTCCAACCAAGGTCTCTAATGGGATGGCCTCTGCCTCTGGGGGGACAGGGCTGCCCCTCTGCCTAGCCAGGGCGCTGCTCACACACAAGCACGGGAAGCTCAGCCTCCTTCCTGTTTTGAAGCATGACCTTAGGGTTCTGAGCGATGCTGACGAGGGGCCAGCACCCATGTCAGGAGCAGGATGGTGGGCCTTTCTCCTAGCTCTGAGGACCTCACCCCGCCTATGGATGGAAATGCCGTCTAGGGAGTGACTCCCAGATTTCCATCACCAGCCTGGCCCCGTCGTGGAGCGCTGCACTGGGATGAGCAGCTGCCCTTGCCCTACAGATGCTTCCCAGCTGAGGGGTCCTTTCAAAACGTAGGGCAGACCATGTAGGGCAGACCACACTCTGCTCCAAAGCGTCCCAGGGCTGCACTTGCTGGGGGTAAACACCAAAGCCACCGGCCCAGCGGAGCCATGGGCCAGCCCCCCGCCCCCGCCCTGCAAAAATGTTAGTTGAGATATTTTGCCCACTTTAAAAAGTTGGGTTTTTTGTGTTTTTACTAGGTTTTGAGAGGGGTCTGGGTGCATTCTGGATGGGAGCCTTTGTCAGAGAGACGAGCTGCAAATGTCTCCTCCTGCCGCTTAACTTCATTCCCCTGACAGTGCCTTCAAAGAGCGGGTGTTTTGTCAATTTTTATGAAGTCTCATTTGCCAATTATTTTTTTAATGGATCGTTGCATGTGGAATTGTATCTAAGAAATCTTTGCTAACCAAAGGTCAGGGATATCTTCTCCTACCTTTTCTTCTAGCAGTTTACTTTCTGAGGTCTTCGAGTTAGGATGACAATGCAATTTGAATTAATTTTTTAAAAGGGTGCAACGTATGAATCAAAGTTCTTTTTTTTTTCCCCGCTTTGGAGAGTCAGTTGTCCTGACATTGAATGGCCTTTACTCCTTTGTCGAAAATAAAATGAGCCCGTTCTGTCCCACTTGTCTGTCTGTCCTGATTACTGCAGTTCTGCTGAGTCTTCAAGTCAGGCGACGTCAGCCCTCCGGCTTTGTCCCGCCTCCAACGTCATTCTGGTTTTGGGGGATCCTTTGCATTTCCACATGGATTTTAGAATCAGCTTGTCAATTCCTGATTTCAATTTCAGTTGTTTCAATTGTTTCAATGTTGAAGTTCAATTTCCGATTGTTCGTTACCAGAATATACAAGTAACGTTGATTTTCGTATGTCGATTAATCATGAGAGAACCCGTGACCTTCGCAGCTTATGCTGGTAGGACTTTCTGTGGGTTCCATCAGCTTTTCCACACAGATGATTCTGCAGTCTGTGCACAGAGTCAGTTTGGCTTCTTTCCAGCCTGGATGCCTTTTCTCTTGTTCTTACCGGGATGGAGCCTCCATAAGATATTGAATAAGTGGTGAGAGTGGATGGGCTGGCGTCTTTCCTGCCCTTGGGGAGAAGTCTCTATCTCTCACCAGCAAGGAGGATGCTCGCTCAACGTCTCTGGCAGGTGTCCTTCATCAGGTGGAAAAAGTTCCCTTGAATTCGTAGATTTTTCAGGAACAGATGTTAGAAGATTTTGTCAGACTCCTTTTCTGCACCTTTTGAGATGGCGACTTTCCTTTGTAGTCTGTTCATGTGGTAAATTGCATTGGCTGATTTTTGAATGGTAAACCATCCTTGCATTCCTGGGATAAAGCTCCCTCAGTCGTGATGCATTATCCTTGGGATATGTTGTTGGATTTGATTCACGGAAAATGTCTAAGGGTTTTCTGCAGCCATCTTCATGAGGGGTATTGGTCTAGTTTTCTCTCCTGGTTTTGGCATCAGGATGATGGTTGGGAAATTTTTAGGAAGAACACTCCTCCTGTGCCTCTTGTCTGTCCTCAGTTCTCTGCTATGACACTGTTTCACTTCTGACACCCTAGTGACGAAATGCAAGGGGCTTCCCCACACCAGCTAGCTGTCCTACTGTTTCACCCAAGTCTAACACTGTCTACATGGAGGTAGTGTCATAACTCACAGTTAAGGTCGCACAAGACCGCCCCCCACTTCAGATGCCAATCACAAGTTCAGCCTGTCATCTGTGCTTCTGACCCACCGGCTAGAGATTGGGGGTTGCCACGGCCACTTCCTTGGGTTTGATCATTTGCTGGAGCAGCTCACAGAGCTCAGGAAAGCAGTTTACTGGCTAGATGACCAATTTGTATATAAAGAGGTATAATTCAAGAACAACAATTGGAGAGAAGCACAGGGTAGGTCTGGGAAAAGACACAGAGCACCTCCACGTCCACCAACCTGGAAGCTCTCTGATCCCTGCTCTTGGGGTTGTATGGAGGCTTCATCATGTAGGCACAATTAGTTCAAATCACTGCCATTGATGATTATTTGCACGTCCAGCCCCTCACCTTTCCCCAGAAGGGATGTGCAGGTTAGGGCTGAAGTTCAACCCCCAATCACATTGTAGGTTTCCTGGCAACCAGACCCATCCTTAGGGGCTTCTCAAAACCACCGCAGTTACATACACTCGGGAGTGGTTGAAAGGGGCTTCTTGTAAGAGTAACAGAAGACGTCCTTCACACATGTATCACCATGAGGGTATTTCAGGGGCTGGCAGCAAAAAGATGTCCCCAGAGTGCTTGTCACAGGGAATTACAGAAGTTTTAGGGGCCGTGTGCTGAGAACCATAAGCAAAAACCAAAACACATATTTCTTATAAATCACAACATCCCAGAGGTGTTCACTCATTTTCAGTTTTCTAGAAGAGTTTCTGCAGAGCTGATACTATTTCTTTCCTAAACATTAGGTAGAATTCTCCTGTGGGACCATCTGGCCCTGATGTTTTCCTTGTAGGAAGATTTTTAACTACAAAATAAAGGCAGGGCTACTGTGGTTATGTGCTTCTTCTTAAGTGAGATCTGGCAGTTTGGAAACTTCAAGAAATGTATGCATTGTATCTGAGTTGTCAAATGTGTTGGCATCCAGTTGTTCATAATTACATCTTACTACTCTTTCAGTACTGTAGGGTCTGTGGTGATGTCCCTTCCCCATGCCTGATCCTGATATGGATAATTGTCTTGTCTTTTTGTTTTTTATTCTTTAGGCTGATAAGTCTGGCTGACAGCTTATTGATTTTATTGATCTCCAAGAATAAGCTTTTGCTCTTCATTTATTTTCTGTATTGAATTTCTGTTTTCTTATCTCACTGATTTCTAGTCTTTATTATTCCCTTTCTTCCTCTTACATTGGGTTTCATTTGGTCTTCTCTTTCTAGTTCTCAAGGTGAAAGCTAAAATCAGTGATGTGAGACCTTTCTTCTCCGATATTAGCACTCTGGTACTATTAATTTCCCCCATGTACTGCTTCATCTGTACCTCACAACTGTTGATATGTCATTTTCCCATTTTTATTGGTTTTAAATACTTTCTAATTTCCTTTTTTATTTCTTCTTTGAAGATGAAAAATTCAGAAGTGTGTTATTTGGTTTCTAAGTTGTTGGAAATCTTCTAGATACCCTTCTATTACCGATTTCTACTTTAATTCCATTGTGGTCAGAGAGCATGTTTTTGTAAGACATTTTAATTGTACTGAGGCTTGTTTTATGGTTCCAAATAGGTAAATGCTATTTCTGGGGTTAAAACACTTTCTAAGTCACAGGCTGGTGCAGCCTTGGAAAGTTGTGTGTTTAAGTCTCCAATGGGAGGGCCTGGCACATGGCTAGTACTCACTGGGCATTATTGGCTAATGTTATAATTTATGGGGAAGGCAGGAGAAGGTAACAAGTTCAGATCTGAGCAGATGAGTTTGGGGAGCCTGTGAGATGGAGGCTGGAGAGGAGAGCCCCATTGGCCATTGGGGTTTGAGTGTGGGGCTCAGCGGCCAAGCAGCTGTGGGAGCTGATGTGGTTGCATGGGGCCTGAGAGCAAGGGTGAGCATGAAATTACCAGACCAGGCAGGACATCTCCCAGCTCCTCAACAACAGCCTGGAAGATAGAGGCAGCTCTATCCCGTGACCATATAGGATGGATCCTGCTGCTTTTTGCTCCTGGGGGGAATTTCGGCCCCACATGTCTCTTCAAGGAGGGCAGAGGCTTTCATGGTGGCTCTAACGGAGTCCTGTCCTGTTTTGTTCCCAGACTGGAAGAAGCGATTCATTGGCATACGGATGCGGACCATCACACCGAGGTGAGTGTCTGAGGATGCAACCCTGCTGCCCCTCCATCCTTATCCCTCTCCTCACCTCTCCTCCCAGACCCTGCCCAGCTGTGTCTGGCCACCTGCAGGTGTTCCCGAGGGCCAGACACTCAGACTCCCAAGCCTCTGCTCAGGCAAGCCCTCTGCCTGCAATGCCTTTCCCCGCTTTGTCTGATAGGTTCCTTCAGCTCCCTCAGGACTCCATTCAGGTGCCCCCTCCTCAAGGAAGAAAGCTTCTATGGCTGCCATACAAATTACCACAAACTGGGTGGCTTAAGACAATAGGAATTCATTATCTTGCCATTCTGGATGCTAATAGTCCAAAATCAGAGCATCAGCAGGTCTGTGCTCCCGCTGGAGGTTCTGTGGGGAGTTCTTCTTTGCTCTCCCTGCTTCTGGGGGCTCCAGGTGTTTCTTGGCTTGTAGCCACATCACCCCAATCTCTGCCTCCATCTGCAGATTGTGGCCTCCTCTGTCTGTGTCCAAATCTCCCTCTTCTTTCTCTTATGAAAACACCAGTCCTTGGATTTAGGTCCCACCCTAAGTCAGGATGACACTACTTAGAGATCCTTAATGAGTTAGATCTTTAAAGATCCTATTTGTACAAAAGGTCACATTCTGAGGTTCTGGGTGGACACGAATTTTGGGGAGACACTGTTCCACTCACCATGCCACTCAAGTGGGGAGAGTTCCACCTTTTCCCCCTGCATAGCTGTGCTTCTTTTCCAAGCATTGCACTGGCCCCATGGATTGGAATTGCCTGTTTGTGCCCTGCACTCCTCAACTTTGAACCTGAGCTCCTTGGGAGTGAGGACTCTGTCCTGCTCATCAGTATCATGTCTGTAGCAGAGTGGGTGGCTGGAAACACTGATAGTGAAATAAAGGGTGGGGTGTGTAAGGAAAAGGAGAAAGAGGGGGAAGGAAGGGAATCAGGGAGAGAAAAATATGCAAAGTCAAGTCCAAGGATTTGGAGAAGGAGTAGCATTGGGTGCTCTGGGGAAAACTAAGGCATGCTCAACTGATTATACTCTCAAAACTATACAGTCCCTAAAATGATCATTCTTCCCATTTCATCAACTGCTAATCTAGGGATTAAATCTAACAGTTGTTTGTAATCAAAACCAATATACCAACTTTTATCTATTAAATGTATTCTTTCTTTCTGACTATCATCCACTCATCCATCACACCATTTGTCCATCCATCCATCACACCACCCTTCCATCAGTCTATCACACCAACCGTCTATCCATCCATCACACCATCCATGCATCCATCCATGCATCCATGCATCCATGCATCCATCCATCCATCCACCCATCCACCCATCCATCCATCCACCCATCCATCATCCATCCATCCATCCATCCACCCATCCATCTATCCATCCATCCATCCATCCATCCCCCATCTATCCATCCATCATGACATCTGTCCAGTCTCTGTCTATCCAGTCCATGACTCACTCATTGCTCATCTTTCATCTATCCATTTATCCATCCTTCCTTCCATCCATCCATCCATCCATTTGTTCATCCATCCTTCTACCTTTCCTTCCTTTCTCTTGTCCTTCCTCCCACCCACCCTCCCATCTATCCATCACCCTCCCCTATCCACACTTCTAATCATCTACCTTCAGTAAACTTTCTCTTGAGGATCCCATGTCAAGTGGGGGACACTGAGAAGAATCAGTGACAACCCAGAGTGGTCAGTGGTAGGACAGAGCAGTGTCAGGGTCCAAAGATGCCTCTTCTGGCGTGGGTGGTGGGGGGAGGGAGGCCAGCTTTGTGCCACGGAGGCTCAGAAGAAGTGTGTTCATTGTGGAACTTCCTTTTCAGTTTGGTAGAAGAACTAAAGGCCAGCAACCCAGACTTCCCGTCGGTCAGCAGTGGGATTTATGTGCAAGAGGTTGTTCCAAACTCACCTTCTCAGAGGTAGGCTGCACTATGGGAAGCAGGGACACTGGACAGGAGGCAATCAGACATCCTGGCAGGTGGAGTTGGGTGGGCATGAAGCCTAGGGTGGGCCCGCTTCAGTGACCTTGCTTGACCTTGAGCCACCATTCCCCGCCGCCCCCCGGCACATGACATGGCACGGAAGTGGCAGGTGGGATTCTGGCCTATCGCCTAAACCAGGGGCAGGCTGGAGAGATGAGTTACCCCTTAGAGCATTGGCAGTGCCCTTCCTCAGCCCAGTGTGTCCTCTCCTTTGGGTCTAGAGACAGAGTAGTGGAGACCCCACCAGAGCTCAATCCCCAATCCAGCCCAACTCCCACCAGCTCGGTGGGCACACTGGGGTCTTCCTGGGCCTGTTTCCTCATCTGAAAAATGGGCACAATTCGACCTACTCTTTCTGCCCTGAGGAGGCTTTGTCAAGATCAAATGAGACAAAGCACCTTTTCTTTGAAACTGCCAAGTATCGGAGAACAGTTGACTGTTTGCAGCACCGTGAGCTGAGCCAGCCCGTGTAGTGCAGGTGCTGCATGCTTGCACGGCTGATTCAGGCCCCAGAGGGGCTCTGAGCAAGCCCTTCCCTCCTCTGCCCCAGGTGTGTGTCTGTATGGTATGTGAGCTCATTCGGTCAGTGGTCTACACAGTAATCCCCGGAGCTGGAGGTCGTGCACAGGGGGTCTGTGAGGAGCAAGGGCAGGGTATGGAGTGGAGAGGAGCCAGGCAGGCAGGCCTCCAGCCCCGCAGGGCCCCCGCCACCAAACAGGACCCCTCTTCCTGTTTTCTGTCATGCTGCTTCAGAGGCTGTGCGGGAAGATGCGGGCCCCGTAGTGCAGGTGCTCGGTCCACAGCTGACCTGTGGTAGAACTTGTTGGAATATAGGTCTGTGAAGCCAATGAATAGCCACCAAACTCAGGCCCCTTATTCAGGGTTTCAGCAGTTACTGGGAGGGACCCCGGGCAAGCCGCCTCAAGAGCCAGAGCAGTGGGCTCAGTGCAAGGGTGTCTGCTGCCTCATTAGTCAACCCTCACCGCAGCCTAGACCTCGTAATCTGCAAGCCTGTTCCCACATGGGACCGCAGATGTGGAAACTGAGGCTCAAAGGGGCCAAGTGCCTGGCCTGCGGCAGCCCAACCAAAAAAGCTACAGCCAGAACTTGAACCCAGCCCTTGTAATGTAGAGAAGAAGCAGGCTCACAAAGCACTAGCCCATTGGAGGACATCGGTTTCCATCTGGTGTAAGAACCTTGCGGTCAGGACGCTGTTCTTACCTGTTGAAATGATTTTTCTTAACTGCTTCTGTTTAACCGGATCGTCCCCTGAGCGGGGTCCCAGCCTCTCAGGGATTTTTGGTGACTGGGTGTCTCTCCATTGGCAGAGGGGGCATTCAAGATGGCGACATCATCGTCAAGGTCAACGGGCGCCCTCTGGTAGACTCGAGCGAGCTGCAGGAGGCCATCCTGACGGAGTCCCCTCTGCTGCTGGAGGTGCGGCGGGGGAATGATGACCTCCTGTTCAGCATCGCGCCCGAGGTGGTCCTGTGAGCATGGGGCCCCCCCCCACGTCGCCACGTCCCAGAGCCTGCAGCCCGGGACAGGTGCCGGCCGAGAGGTCCCGTCCAGAGCTGTTGCCGCACACAGGGTCAGGACGAAGGACCATGAACGGTCCTCAGCAGGGCCGGTGGCCTCCTCCTGGCCATCCAGGGGCAGAGACACAGGCAGGGCTTGGCCAGGGACCCGCTTCAGCCTTCGGGAAGGTTGACACTCCAACATCACTGTGCCACAGGGGCAGCCGGTGTCCCCTTCGTACAGATGCTCCCGACGGCCACCTTCCAAGTGCCTGGGATATCTAGAACCCTCCTCCGGAGTTCCCCACAGGTCCCACCCTCCCTTCTGCCCCCTGCCTTTATACCTGTCCAGCCTCTGTCTAAATGCCCAACCTGCACCTACCCCACCCTCTGCTCCCACTCACCTGCTCAGGTCAGTTCCCCAGCCTGTCCTCCCCGACGAAGGCCTCCCAGCCCCTGCCCCAGACACTACAGTGCCCACCACGTTGAATGACCAAGGCTGTCGCTCCGCCAGCCTGGAGGACCTGGACGGCGGCCGCGTCTGACCCCCTTGAGGCATCAAGTGTGGGGACCTGGCCCAGAGCAGGCCCCGGGGGGAGGTCCCCTGGCTTCCCAGCCCAACCCTGTGGCTGGTGATGAGGTTCACCTTCCTAGGCGGGAGAGAGACTGGCCAGGAGCAGAGTGTCTGGGAGGCCGCTTGTCCCCCTGGAGGTGACCATGGGCCGGCGGGCAGAGGAAGCGTCCTGATGGGGGGAGGGCTTGCGAGGACTGAGCCGGCTTCGCCTCCCCTGTGCCGTTCTGCACGGGGCCACCGGCTCACAGAATCGGCCCCTACAGCAGCTGGGGAGCACGCGTGTGTTGAGGTGTATTTGTGAGCTTCGCTGTACCGTGGACCCCCGTTTGCTTGTACCATATGTTTCTCTACTGTGTGGAAATTAAAGTTTACGAGCACATGGTCCTTAGCCAGGAGGGGCCTCCGGGTAGCCCACCCCCCGGCCACAGCCTCTCTTGGATCCAGAGCTGACACGCCAGCCAGCCGAGGGCCGGGGACACCACCCTGAGCTCAGGGGCATTGGGCTGGCTCCCCGACTTACTCCTGGTCTGTGGTCTCAGGCAAGATGCTTCCCTGCCCCTGCCCTGTCCTCTCCCCGGGGGAGGAGGGACATGGATGCCACCGCCCCGGAGGCGAGGGGACCGAGCACTTGGAAAGTGCCCGGCTTACAGGGAGCCCCAGCTAAGCCGCGCTACCTGTCCCCTAAAGCTTCTCTGTATCTGCTCCAGGTCACCTCACCACAGACCACCCAGCGGTGGGGAAACGAGGCAGGAAGAGACAAAGCAGATTGCCAGGGGCGGGGGGCTGCAAACAGGGCGTCGAGAGCTATGATGTGCCCGGGGCAAGCCCCCCAGGTAGCAAGTGGGGGCACCAGGGTGAGGGTGAGGGGTGCCAGCAGATCTGAGAGCAAGGGGCCCAGGCCTGGGTTCTGGACCACCAAGCCCAGAGGGGGATAGAGACCCCCCTGGTCCAAGCCTCGCAGGGTGGCAGGGTCTGCCCCCAGCTGGCCTCTGGGCAGCCGTGTGACCCCTGGCCACCTTCCCCTTAGGGAGCGGTGAACAACCGCAGGACTTCAAGCCCCTCCAAGCTCCGAGAGCCTGAGGCTTGACAGGTCCAGATATAAATGAGCCCGCCACAGGGCAGTTTTCAGGTGGCCTCAGCTGGCGTGGCAGCGGTGGGAATTCTGTGTGGTACCTGGAGGGACTCACGGGACATCCCTGGAGACAGGCATACCCGGCATCGGTGATTCTGGATCCAGCTGGCTGTGTGCCCTGTGGCTGGGCAGCGAGATGGGGAGAATTGGACCCTAGAGCCCCTGGCACCCACACCCGGAGAAAGACCAGAAACTCTCACAAGCAGCTTTTAATGAGGATGCTGTGCTCTGGTTCAACACCCCAGTTGTGCAATCCGTGGGCTCCGATTACCACGTGCACTGAGCTGTCGTCCCCATGCCCGGGCCACACCAAGGCCGTGGGTCTGCCCTTGGGGGAGTGAGGTCCTGGCACCCGGCTGGCCTGCACGAGCCTGAGCTACTGGGTGCAGTGTGGGAGAAAACCCTCAGGCTGAGGAGCGGCATGAGGGCCGCAGGTCCCTGAGCTACCACTGACGGCTGACAGCCCAGAACTGTCCCTTGCAGCGGCAGGAGACCTCAAAGGTGGTGGTGGGGGGGGTCGCGGGCAGGGCACCAACGGGTCCTGCTGTCTGGGATCTCAGGCATTTCAGGGACTTCGCGCCCAAGTCTGGAACTGGGATAAACCGGGCTCCCCGAACATGGCCTCCGAGGGCATCGGTGGGAGCCGAATTGTCAGCTTCACTCCTTCCCCGCTGCTGCCACCCCAAAACCCTTGAGTTTGGAGGGGAGGGCCAGAAAGGGGATGGTTGTTGCCCTGGGAGGAGCAGGGCTCGGCCGGAAGGCACCGGCTTTGCTGTAGCCAACATTGAATTAAATGTCATATAGAGGCTCCTGACTCAGGGTCTGGCCCCCAAAGTGCCCCCAAATGTCACTTCACATCCCCTCGCTCCCTGCCAGCAGCCTCCTGGATGACCAGGGCCATCCCCTCCAGCTTCAGGCTGTCCATCTGGGAGGTGGGATGTGGGAGGTTGGGGTCTCTGAGCTCAGGGGTCAGCCCAGCCTGGACTGTGGTCTTGGCTTTGCCCCTTTCTGGCTGACCCGTGCTGGGGACTTCAGCTCTGGGCTTCTGCACCCAGGAAGGCGCCCTCGCCTGGTGCTGGGGGCTGCAGCGGTGGGAGTGGGCTCTGCGGCAGTCAGGCCCTCCGTCCTCCACCAGCCACCCAGCCCTGCCCCCCACACCCCTAGCTGGGAGGAGCTGACTTCCCCGATGTTCCTCTAGCTGCACCCCGTGATAAACAACTTTTCCAGAGCCTGCCAGGAGCCGAGCGCTGTTGTGCAACCTTCATGCTCCTGACGCAAGCCCCGGTGGCTGGGTTTGCAGCCCACCCCTCCACTATCTGTCCTGGGAGCTATAAACGGGGGTGCTGACAAGGGCAGCGCCCTCAGGGAGGAGCACCATGTTCCAGCCTTGGGGGCCTTTGCAAACACCTGGAATCCAGGAAGGACAGGGCCAGAGGAGCATCACAGGTCTCTGGCTCCCAATGCCCCATTGGACAGGGGGCGGGAACTAAGGCCCAGAAAGTAGGACTTGGGGTCACATGTGAGCTCCTGGCTGGCCTCCAGGGGACCAGGGCTGGGCTGGAGCAGACAGCTGTGGTCACAGCTGCAGCAGGACGAATCTGCCACCTGAGCACATGGGGCCGGGCCAGGTTCTCCAGGAGGGGCAGATCCTGAGGGTCACGGCCTCGTCCTCCTTCCAGGTCCCCTTTCCACCCCCAAGGGGATTAGTGGATCCAGAACACGGGTGACCAAAGATGGAAGCTCTGGAATGGGTCGGACGCCAGGAAAACCGCAGGGCACCTGCCACTGTTACCCTGGCTCGAGCAGTGCCTGGGAACACCTGCCCCAGCCCTGTGTCTATGTGGACACGCCTGTTCCCCTGCTCTTGGTCCACACCGTTCAGGTCTTTTGGGGTCCGACTCTGCACTCTCTCCCTCCAGTCCACCTGCTTCCTCCAGCCTTCACTGGGTGCTGCCCACGCCCCCTCGTGCCTGCTCTGTCCCCTCTGACCATCTGCATCATAACCCCGGAACCACACACACAGCCAAGGAGACCTCACAGCCACGGTCAAGTGAAGGCTCCTGACACGGGAGGTTATCCTGGATGATCCGGGCAGGCCCTGGGGTCACAGGGTCCTGATCGGAGGGAGGCAGGAGGGTCAGAGTAGAAGACGGAGGGTCGGAAGCAGAGGCTGGGGAATGTGAGCAAGGGGCTGGGGTACACAGGGAGCCCCTAGAAGCTGGACAGGGTTCTCCCCTGGGGCCTCCAGGAGGACCCAGACCTGCCAACACTCTGACTTTAGCAGAGCACATAGAGGCGTATACACGACACACATCCGTGAAACCGTTCAGCCCTCAGTTGCACCAATTTTTGGCATGATGCCTACCTCTGGACATTTTTTTTCACTCCACACATCAGGGTCACACCTACTTTTCCTGATTCAATTTCTTCCCTCTGTATACATTTCTTTTCCATTTTGGTTGAAACGTTTCCTCCAGGAAATGGTTTCACAAAGAAGTGCAGGGGCGGGGCGGTGAGTGAAGAGCTGACATGCTTGAAACATTTTCATATTTTTCAAATCATTTTTATCGTGAAGTGTGACTCACATACAGAAAAGTGCCCAAACCTAACACTTGAATATACAGCTGACCCTTGGACACTGTGGGCATTAGAGACGCTGACCCTCCATGCGCTCAAAATCCACATATAACGTTTGACTCCCCCCAGAACGTAACTACTAATAATCTGCTGTTGACCAGAAGCCCTAGCAATAACAAAAAACACTGATGAACACATATTTTGTATGTTATATGTATCATGTACTGTATAAGAAAGTAAGCTAGAGAAAAATATGTCACTGAGACAATTATAAGGAAGAGAAAATGCGATTACACTGTTGTTCTGTGTCTATCGAGGAAAATCCACGTCTAGGCAGACCCTCAGAGTTCAAACCCGTGTCACTCAAGGGTCATTTGTATTCTCAGAAAGCAAACGCACATCACCACTCCCAAGTCGAGAGCCAGAGCACTGACAGCCGCCCACACTGCCACATGCCCCCCAGAGTATCCCAACAACCCCGCTCGGTGGTAACCATCCCTCCGGCTCCTTCCTGTCCCGGGTGCCTACCTTCCTGTTAGCTTCCTGACACTTGATTATCTCACGTTTTACACTAGATGACTCGTGTGTGGAGCATAAGAGAGGTCAAATTTCACTTGTTCCATGTGGATATATGGATATCTAATTGTCCCATAAACAATTTATTTGAAAGGCACGTCTTTCTTCCTTTGCCATAAACCAAGCTCCCATATGCATGTAGATCTGTCTCTGGACTCCTTTTGCCCTATTGATCTTTCTCTGTGTCCTTGCCCCAACACCACCCCATCCTAGTTATTTCGGCTTTGAGATAGAATTTCTTATCCAGTGCAGTAAAGCCACCACACTGGGCTTTTCCTTCAAGAGTGCTTCACTATCTTGATTCTTTGCTTTTCTGCATATATTTTAGAATAAATTACCAAGTTCCACCCCTTGTGAATTTGGTTAGAAAGGCATTGAATCTATAGGTCAGTTCTGAGAGAGGTGACACTTATG